TTATTTTTATTCTGTTCTCAGACACATTTTCAGCTCTTTCTTTACTTGATGTCTGGGATTAACTCTTGGAGGCTGTATCATGTTATATTGAGTCATGTGCTATGCAGAAATCATCATTTTTCCCTGCACCCTGTTTTTGGCAGAGATGAAACATACCTTTTGATGCTTACTCTTCTGAAAGAAATAGGATGACACTAAGTAACATGAAATTACTCAGTTTGAAAGTATTATAATAGGGAAACCTGCAATGATGGTATATTCAGAGCTGCTATCACTGGTGGTATCAAATGTACAGAACAGTTATTATGAAACCCAACTAAAATAACTTTGGTGAGTGATTGCATGCTTCAGAATATAACACTCACTGTGGCATAACATATATTGAATGTGTAAAGAGAAATGTGTAAAGATTTAATGTTTACAAATATGTGTGTATGAAATCATACTATATAGAGAACACACTACTTATGTAAATCCAGAGACTTTTTGCAACCTATTTACATGGTAGAAAACAGAAAAGTTATTCACTATAATAGAAAAATAAGGGCAGAGGAGACAAACTGTGAATAGATGGAACCACAAAATAAATGAGCTAAAATCTTTATAAAAGTTCTTATTTTTGTGTTCAAGTGACTAGCATGACAAAGAAAGAAAAAACTGCAAGTAAATCCAAATACACTAAAAACTGTTTCAAATGCACAAGTAATGCAAAGGTATTTTCATGGCACAGAAATTACCAGTTTTATTGATGATAGAAAGTTTCCCTCTGGGTAAGGTTATGTGCCAGACTCCAGAACAGACCCAAAACAAATTATATCTGCTTATTTTATTGTTATTATTCTCTTTCATATTGTTCATAGCATTCTTTTGTGAGGGTTTGTGAACCTCATTGCTGTGTTCCCTCATCTGAGCAAGCTTTTATTGCTGTTTAACATTTTTCAGAGACATGCAAAATTAGACTCAGACTTGTTAGCTACAAGCACGCCACTCCAGGACAGGTGTTTTAATAAACCAGCTGCACATTCATGTGAGACTACAGCCACCATTTGTGTCTGAGATTAAAAGTGTGAATTTTTGGGGCAGCTTCTCCTCCAACACAGTACAATGTACAGGTAACTAACACATTGCAATGTGTGGCTCTGATCAAAGGCTTGGAATATTTATATCAACTATCTTTCCCCCTACAGTTATCTCTAATAACAGACTTCATTTTTTGAGGTAAGGTCATGTCTACCTCAGAAGTCTTTGTTACAGAATATATAGAACTTGCACTCCCTCCCTCCACCATGGAAATTAGAGAGCCAATGATTTTCTCATCATTTCTAATACAGCTGTTCAATAAGAGGTATGATGTCTTACGACACTTACAAGTGTCTACTCATTCCTTTCTGCTGTCCCTGAAAGCATGCAATGAAGTTAGGCATTCATCTCAGCCTGAAAAAATAAGACCTGGTCTCTTTCCATATCCACAGGTCATTTCTTTTAGTGTTTGGAATAAGAGGAGTCATTCTTGATGACCTCAGAATCAATCCTCTGTTGACACCTCCCCTGGATTGCTTGCTGTTGCTTGCTGTTCTTGAGACACCCACAGGATTCAGACACTACTGAGAGCCTATGAAGCAGATGGAAAGAAACGAAAATCCAGCCCAATGATCATGAACTGATAGTCTTTAGTGTAAGGTATTGGCAGTTCAGTTTTCCTTTGTGTAGTGGTACATAAACCTATCTCTGTGGTGATAAGATACAAACTTGTGTTGCAAGGCTGTTCCCTGGTAAAGGGACCAGACTTTAAACTCTTTTAAAAAGCTTTGTCACACAGCAGGTGAAAGCTCACCTCAGCAATGTCATTGGATATTGCTATTATGCTCCAAGAAACTCTTCCCATCTCTGCCCAAGACTTCCCTGACTTCTCCTCAAGACTCCATAAAACCATGTGCATAATTTTCAGATTGATATTTTCTGAAAAATTGGAACTTTTAAAATCTTGGGAAATTATTTTATTTTTTTAAAACTAATAAGTAAATGTAAAAATATGAAATTTAAACCTTCACTCCCCCCACTTCCCCCACTGTCTGCTAACATAAATAAAAAAATATGTACCTCTTTAATTTTATAAAATTGGAAATATAGTGGTTTGAAAAAGAAATTATTCAAAGGCACCAATATGTGTCCTAAAAATATGTTCATTGCTAAAAAGTAGGATATATTTTTATTTCTTTAAACAAGTTTATTTAAAAACATAAACAATGTCTCAAAAATTTTTTAAGCAGTGTTATTTGACTTCAATCATCTGGTTACGATTTGTACTAAAAAATTGACTCACAACCTAAACACATATTCAGATTCAATGGAAAGAAATCTCACAAACAATGCACTAAAACAAACTGACATTGATTTTCTATCAAATATTCAGTGACATCATAATATGTTTTGAGAATTTAAGTTGCCTTTAAGTTGAAAAGAGATTGTTCTGCATTTTCATTTCTCTTTATAACCTAATGAAAAACTGATTCTTACATATCAGAACAAGTTCTGAATGTGGACACATGCGGATATATGTTCTGAATGTGGATAGAATTAGCATGAGAAAGGAAGTTTAGCATGAATAGACTTTGAGTAAATGCAAAAACAAATAATACATCTGGACAAAAATAATTCCACAGACTTACTTGCACTTTTCAAATCTTTTCATTTTTATTTATTAATTTACCGTTTTTTTCCCTCAATATAATGCATGTGGACTCTGTACTCATGACAGTATTACTATGCTGTGCATATACACCTCTGAATATAGAATATAAAGTCGTTCGTTTGTAAGCAAACACATCTTGAAAACTCTGGTACTTTTGTCCAAGAATAATACCTATCATGGGTTAATCTTCAGGATTTAGCCCTGCCATACACTTCATTATATCCAGAGCCCTGGATTACGTTAGTTTGAATTTAGCTAGGAATAAATTGAAGTTAGACTGCCCCTTCTGGTTTTAAGGTTAAATTACCTTATCTGAATAGTCTAAAGGAATATCTAAGTACCTTTTCAAATTTAAAATGGAGACATTTTCTCATTGGAATACAAAAAAAACCATAACACATTCACATTTAGAAAGAGTTTTCCATGGAAGTTCTGTGCAAACATGTATATTTTTGCCAAAATTTACTTTTAAACAAGAATAAATTTCTGGAATTAGCAGGATACTCTATTTTTACATGTGAAAAAAAGACCTCTCACAAGTTCAAATGTTTTTGTTTGAAAATGTAAAATAAAGGTGAAAGAATTAGACAATTTAGTGCTGTTGAAACAAAACTTTTCTCACCATTAGTTCAAGAGATCCTTTTCTACTGAATTGTTTCAAATTTCTCACTTGCAATTCAGCTCAGATTAGCTCAAAAGTCAAAGTCTCTCATTTATATATGCAAAAGAACTTTCTCACTCTTTCTTAAAATGGTAATCCCAGTGCAAATGTTTTTTAAGGGTTTGTGAATATGAAAGAAGTTGAATACACCCCAGATGTCCATCTATAATTTTTCATAGTTAAGAGCCTCATGTTTTCAGTCCTATTCAGTGGAAGAATAAGAGAAAGAATTCTGGCTGTGAGATTTCTAACACAGTTTCCAGATGAAGGTAACTGATTTGGTTATTGGGAAGGTTGAGAGGGGATCTCATTAATGCATACAAAAATATCATATGTGGGTGGTGACAGAATCTCTTCAGTGATGCTCAGCAACAGGACAAGGAGTAATGGCCATAAACTAAACCACCAGAAGTTTCATTTCAACATGAGGAAGAACTTTCCAAATCCACCTGGACACATTCCTGTGTCACCTGCCCAGGTGACCATCTCTTGTCAGAGAGGGATAGATTATATCTGGAAGTCACTTTCAATCCTAGCGATTCTGTGATTTTGTAATTTGGACAATTTTTGGAATTTTTTGATAGCTTTGAAGTGTGATTATGATTACTTATTATTTTACATCTTCTTTCACAAGTCTTTGTTCACTATTGAAAAAATATGTAATGATATAAAACTAATAAGCTTAAAATCTGTTGGTTTTTAGTTGTGACTGACAGAGATATTGAAGTTTTAGAGAAATAAGTTAAATATTGTATGTATTCCACTGACATATTGTAAACATGTAAACAATCAAAGTACTGTTTTTGTGAAGCAGATCTGAAAACCCTTGCTAAAGCAGGTTGTAGCATTCCTGCAGCAAAACTTATGCTATTTCTGATTACAGATCACTGCAGGTTTTATTCTAGATTTTAGGTGTTTCATAAGAGTTTAAGGGAACATACTCTATGGATTCCCCAGAGATACATAAAATGTTTTTTTCACGCTGAGATAGTTTGAAGCAAATACTGCTTCCTCAGAGACAGGTTTTGAAATAAGCATCTGTTTTCTGGTGTGATCTCAACGTGATTTTATATGTTGCTCTGTATTGTTTTCTGTTATTGAAAAATATGGCACAAATTAAAGAAAAACTATCTTCTGTTGTTTAGCAAGCTACAGGAGTCATTAAGTAAGAGTTACTATGACTTTTTCATAAATATTTAACCAATTTATGTCAGTGAAACTGTGGTTATGTGCCCTTGAAAGTGGCAGGTTGAAGAGTCAGGGTGGTGGGAGGTGGGCATCAGTTGATGGAAGTGGAGAAGAGAGAAATATTCTCTGGATAAAATCAGTTTACAAGGAGAAGAAAAGCATCCAGGTGTTTGGGAAAGAGATTGGCCCAACAGTAGGGCATGGAAGGTCATTGTTTGAACTTGTTCCTTCAAAAGACTTTGTGGGAGTGAGAACTGAAACTGCTCTTTCAAGTGGGGAGCTGACCGGATAACAAAGATGAAAAAACTGTGAGCAAAAGAGACACTGGAGTGAAAGAAACCTATCTCCTAGTGGAGGAGAGTTCCAAAAGTGACAGTTGAAAGGAAAAGACTTCACAGAGATGACCAGCAAGAAAGGAAGACACAGTGACTGCAGCACGACAATAGACAGATGGTGAAGGCAGAAACTGCATAAGTGATGTGAAGGAACACAGAAAATGAGATGTGGGAGACTGAGCAGGAGACTAAAGAGCTGCAGTGTTTGAAACTGAGAAGTAAAGAGGAAAAAAAGGATCTGAATACAAAGGGTTATCAAAGAGGTTGCTGTCTGTTAAAGTCCTATGGCAGCTCAGACAACCTAGTTTAAAGACTTGGGATGTTAGATTAATTTGGGATATGTATTACTCATAAGTTAAAACTGTTTCATTGGAAGCTTGTCACTGATGTTCATGAAAACAGTAATAGTGCTTTTAGACCTGTAACACACAGTTAAAGGTGTTTTCTCTGATCCTTAGGCAAAAATATGCACAAAAGAATTGCACAATACAATGCATGAAGAGCGATTTTCAACGCTGTAGAGTAATCCTAACTCCAAATAGAATCAACAGAAAGGACAGAACACCCCCATTCTGTAGTAAGCATCAAACACCAAGCCTAATTCAGTGAGACACACTGGCTTTGGCCAGCACAATACAGGCAGTCTCTCTGGATGCCTGGGGGATCCCAGCAGTGTTTAATCCCATGGGTGCTTCCCACAGCAGAAGCAAGAAGCCAGGACTGGCTGCAGTTCACAGAGATTTCAACAGACCCCTGACCAAGCCCTCAGCCACAGGGAGTACCAGAATGAAGGAAAAAACCTACCTTCAGAGGGGTAGTACAGATGAGGATTGTGGTGTCCCAAAGAGGTAGGAAGTTTGTATAGATGAAAAAAGAGGATATGAAGAAACAAAACCTGCTCTCTAGGTCTTCAGCTCTTGGTTTTTCTTCCAGTCTCAGAAAAAAAACCAAGATTTTCCCCTCTCAGTGTTCTCTGTGTGTCAAATTTCTTCAATTTTTCAAGTTTTGTTAGGTAGGTACATCAATTCTTGCATTAAGTGAATTCCTGGGTAGTCTGAAAAACCTTTAGAATTATAAGGTTTTCAATCTTAATGAAGTCTATGAGATAAGGCTAATTAGAATTAGCATGTTTCCATAATATACCTACATTGAACACACAGGTTTCATGCAGAATTTAAAGGATGTAGAATAAAACTTTCATTCAATGTGTAATGTATTTTTCAGATGATGGAAAAATTTTCAGTTCTTTCCACTTCTTCTGACAGCTTGTGTTCACCACCGAGATGACTCAGAGAAATGACGACATTTATGCTGAGCTGACTTTCTGAAGTTGATGCACTGCTCCAGGACGTGTTACTGTTACTGTGTGACTGATTTCTTCCTCTTATAATATAACTACAGTTAGACCTACCTAGGAAGACTTCTATGTGCATAATTTATGTAACTGCTTGCAACGAGATGACTCAGGGTTGCACTGATAAATATAAATGATAAGGAATTTCAGTGACTTTGAATATAAAACCAGATTCTCTCAAACTCTTAAAAAGTATCTTAAAAAAATCAAGCCCCAGGGAAATTATGACTGATTTTTCACCAAACCAGTAATTTTTTCCTCATTTTGCTTTGCTACCGGGGATGATAAGTGTGGTAATAGAATATGCCATGACAAAGACTTTTAGTACTAATTTGAAAATTCCATTAATGGCTACTTCTTCCTCAGAACAGTCCCCTCCTAAGTTTTCAATGAGTGGGCATATAATAATAATGTTGTATTTTTAATTGTCGTAAAGAAAAGATTAAATAGATGCCCTGAAACAGAATTTTCTACATACAAACACAGTCATACCCATAAGCCATTTTGTTCATCGTCTGTCCAAAAGGAACCTTAGACTATTCAATAAATCAATGTCTATATCCAGTCCTGCTGCATTTTAATAAAAGTAGAATGCCATAGGAGATGCAGTTGTCCCGATTTGATCCTCAAACAGGTTAATTGCATATTATCACAGACGTAATACAATTTTTCCCACTTTCCCAGAGACCCCAGTCCCACATCTCATGGGATCATCTTCAGGACTGAGAAGAAGCCACCAGCCCAAAGCTTTTCCTGACTCCTTGTGGAAATCCAACAGTGCTGAGGAGCTGGAACAGAATAAATGCTGAGGCAATAACCTGGCATGTGAAGTTTTGAAGTATGACTTTAGAAAAGAATTTGGAAAAGAAAACATTTGGGTTAACTTCAATTTGGGATATCACTTACAGCTAAACTAAATATGTACATACAACTACAATATATACAACTAAAATGCACTGTCAAAATATTGATGGATATGTCATAAAACATGGAAATCAAGCTGTTCCACAAGAAGCATTTTAGAAGAATATGATGAGACAAAATTAAAACAAAACATTTAATTCTGGTGGTTATTAAGTCTACCAGCTGGTAGCTGTGATGCTTCTTTTTTACTTTTCTTCCATAAAGACTTACAGTCTATTTCTCTGCCAGTTGTTAAAAATTTCAGAATTGTCTTCATAAATTTAAGTCAAAATTTCAGTTTAAATTTCATATAAGTAAGGAAAATTAAGCTTTGGCACTGAACAGTGTGTTTTAAGGAGCAGGACAGAATAGAATTTAAAGGATAGTTTGTCTTGTGTTACTAATGCAGGCCTTCTTCACCTTGAGAAAATTTCTGTTTTGGTCAGCATCAGATGTAAAACAAGTTGAATAGCAGTGCATATGATTTCATTTATTACTGACAATCTTCCAAGGAATGCCAGAAAAGTAACATTAGAATTGGGCAAGCATCTCTATAAGTAAACTTGATAAACACAGTGCTTGCCATAGTGCAAATAGAATATCTTCACAGATACGTAGCTTCAGTGATAAATTATATCACATAACGTGCTGCACCCATTTGTTTGAGATCTTCATGGTTCTTACAATATTTTTTAAATTTATTTGCACAGCAACAAATGAGTCTTGAGTATTTAATAATAAACTTGGAGAGTAAGTTTCCAATTCATGGTTCACACTGGAAATCTAAGAATTATGCTTAACCAATCATCAAGCAAAGAAGCAAAAATATACTAGGTTATATATTTTGATGATGAACAGTACAAATTTTGAATAATGAATGCTTGCAATAAACTTCTAACAGACAATCTTCAGGGTAAAAATTTCTCAGAGAAATAATACAATGAATGATGAATTCATGAAAAAATAAAGGCCCGAATACAGACAAATATTGTACAGAAAAAAAAAGATCAAATATAATAAACAAATAAGTAATTTGTTATGAATTATTCACCTGTATTCCTGCTTATAGAAAAGAACAGGCTTTCCTCTCACTTATTCTGCCATAAGTCCTGAGCTACCTCATTGATTATATCCACTCTTTTTTCAAAATATATCCAGACTGTGCTAACTTCTGTGTTACCTGGCACCAGTGTTCCTGAGAGACCAGTGTCCTGAATTAGTCAACACCAGTTTACACTGAGTGAGATCCTGGATTGTAGTACCCATTCCCTGTCTATACTGATGCTCTTATTTGGGCCCACTTCTGTTAATGAACTACACCTTGTTATCTGAGTCAAGTACAAAATTATTCATATATTCCTCAATGTGAAAGTTGAAAAACACTATTACTTCACCCTACTGGCTCTTCTCTAAGAAAAGAACCATAAGATTTGTGAGTTTAGGAGTTGAATTTATTTTTTTCTAATAGCCCTTACAGAAAAAAAATGGCGGAAAGGGAAAAAACCTACTCTCAAAGTTTAAATAGTTACCCTAGGTCACAGAACTTACTATAAGGCAGAAAGCCTTCCATTTTATACTGCAGTTAATTAAACTACAGTATTTTTCACCGGATTTCCTAAAATCAGAGGCTGAAGGGAGCAAATTTAGTTGAGGTTTGTGACCTGGAGAGTATATAGGTTCCAAAATACAATTTCATGCTTAACATTGCTGAAGCCTTTTTGTTTTGAGTCACCGCAACTGTTAACATCCCTGCTTGGTGGCTATCTGAAAAACAGAATAACATGAAGGACTATTTCAAGACTTTATGTTCAAAAAGGGGTAAGGCCTAGGAAAAAGAGAAAATAAAGTTAGAAAAGATGTGCATATTTTATGAAAACATCCTGAAAACTCTACTGCATAATTCCAACTCCTTTTTGCATTGTAATTGTGTTGTATAATTCCATAGGTGGGCATGTGAGACTCAGCGAATACTTGCATTGACAGTAAAGGATATTTAAAGACCCAGTGTGCAGTGCTATAAAGGTTTATGTTGTGAAAGCATTTATGCATTTATAACACTTCAATTGCAGGGTATCTGCCACGTGAACAGTGCTGTTATAAAATGATAGATTTTCTAGAATGACACAAAATGACAAATTCAGTGCTGACCCAAAGGTACAGATGAGGCAATCAGGTACAGTATCTGTCATTTCCCAATCATCTCTGGTTTTGCATCAAAAACAGGCTGTACATGCCCAGAGAAACCAACATCATACACAGAGATTCCAGTGATTCAGCTCTCTAATACCTCCCTTTCTGCAACTGGGCTCTCCATTTTCTTATATATTGTTAGTGCTGAACAAGATATGTTCTCAGAGAATTCTGGGTTTGGAGGGCCATGTTAATTTTTGCATATAAAATCTGCTTTAGAAAAATATTAATTATTTCATACCTTGTCAAGAATTAGCGATTGATATAGCACTAATTTAAACAAACTCATTCATCTTGTCCTACTCTTGCACTTCTTAGCCATTTATGTGTCGTAGTGACTACTTGCTCCATATGAGAAGGATTAGCTCACATGAAAGCCTTGGAAGAAGCAAGCAGCTTGCCATTCCAGAAACTATACAGTCTCTCTGATACCACATGCATTAGACAAGAAAATATAAACATCTATTTAGCACAGGCTTAAAGAGAAGTTTATATCGTCTCTTTTCAGTGTGTTCTTTGCAAAGGTCTCTAGTACAATTCCTCCCTTGAAAATGAGTGTACAGTGCTGCTGGCTAATCTTAGCCAGCCTGGGTATTTCTTATTATCTAGGACAGACATATTTTCTTAGAATTTACTAATGTTGACAGACGCTCGCTAATTTTCAGAATTAATTTGGAGTCATTGCCTAGGGTCTTCCAGCTTTATTTTAATTGCATAATTCTTCAATTTGAAATAGAACCCTTATAGCCAGAACATAGTAACCTAAGTGGCAAAAGGAGAACCTGTGTTAGGGAACTCTTGCATTTCTGGGATGTCTAACTCTACAGCAAGCAAGAACACAGGGATATGGATCTGTCAAGGAAATGCTGATGTGATACCAAAATACATTTAACATCACTTATTCTGCATTGTCTTGGTGGATATTTAGCATACTGAGCCATCACCAAACTTCGCCATTTTATGGCAATGGCAATGGCAAGTGGTAAAACCATTACCCAAGAAAACTGCATGTATCTTGTACCCAGCATGTTCACTAAGATATTTGCATAATTTGTAGACCATGCAACATAACTGTCTCCTGTAAATTATTAGAAGAGCAAATTCTTTTTCCTTCAGTTTGTCAAAACTTTTTATCATCCTAATGATAACCCTACTCTAGACTGAATGTGAGATGACAAGTGCACAAAGGTAATTGATTTATTTCTTGCATATTTACAGCTCATTTAGAGGAGTATGATGTAGATGCTTATGCAGTTTAGCTACATAATTAGAAATTATTCTTGAAGAAAAAAATATAACTTGTTTTATATAAATATAATGGTCAGAATATATTGTTTGATTTCCATTCCACTCATTAAAATCTATATTTGGTGTGTAA